GGGACGGAGCGAGAGGCAAAATGGGCAGAAATACCACCCCCACCGAGGTCGCGGACGCTCAGGCCTTCTGGAATCGCGGCCTCAGGCCTTGGCCCGGCTGGAAGCGGACACCCCGACTGGTCAGCCCAGATGCAAGGAAAGGAACTCAGTTAAGGGGCCACAAATCGTGCCCCCACGCCGCCAGGAGTGGGGACCGAGAAGGGACGCGGAAGTCTGCGAAGAAACACGCGCTAGCTTCAGAGACCAGCGGGCAGTAGAATCCCGGCCGCAGAAGGCTCTGAGTCCGTCTCAAACATACTCACTGCCGGGGCTGCTACCAGGAAGCACCAACCAGGAACCAAAACGCGTAGAGGAACGGGGAGGGGCGAGGACAAATGAGGTAGGGAAACCGTGGTAGTGTGGAGCAGGGAGGAGGGAAGGTACTTCCGGGCAAAACAGTACTCACGGAAGTTGTCTTTCCATCTCCGCCCACCCTCAGCGCCTCCGTACGCATGCGTAGCAAATGTTAACCCTTTTTTTTCTACGTCGATAACCTATTGGCTTGCCTTTCTTACATTGTTCCTCCCCTCTCACCACTTCTTTAGGAAAGACTTAAGGCTGCATATTGATGAAGGATGCTTTATTTTGACGTCTTGTACGAGGGAGTTACTACTTATGGGGCAAAAGCAGACATTAACTAGTGCCCTTCTATGCCCCCTAGAAAAACTACAACTCCCATGATACTCTTCAGCTGGCCTCAGAATTGGTTCCTCCTCCTCCTACCTAACGCAGTTCCACGATCCCATTCCCGGAACAGCCTTTCTAGCCACGTGGCACAGGACTGTGTAAAGACCCAGGCGGGAGGCGAAAGCCCGGAAGCCAAGAGACCTGGCAGACGAACTCTGGGACAAGGTCTAGAGGAAGTCACTCGAAAAGAGCCGGTTGGGTTATCTTAGGCAGGACCTTTAAATCTTGTGAGTTGAAATTGGTCATTCATGGGCGCTTGCAGCTTTCTGTTTTTCAAGGCAGCAGATTTAATTAACCTTTTGTGAACCATGAAGAGATTGGAGTTGTTGTTAGTCGGTGTCGACTCAAAGCGAACCTATGCACAATAAAATGAAACCTTGCCCGGTCCTGTGACATTCTCATGATTGTTTATTATGGTTGAGCCCATTACTGCTGCCATTGTACCAGTCCATTCTCGTTGATGGGGCTTCCTCTTTTTCACTGACCCTCCACTTTACCAAGCATGATGTCCTTCTCCAGGGACTGGTCCCTCCTGATAACATACCTATATCTTCAGTTCCTCTTCCCACTCTTTACTTTCCTATTTAGTCGTAGTAAATCCAACTGTCCAACTTTACAAATAATGAAGCACTTTGTCAATTTGTTGACCCCTCACAACAACCCTAGACGATTAATGTTAAGTGCCTTCGAGTCGGTTCTGACCCATAGCGACCCTGAATAGGGTTTCCGTGGAGTCCTGTTGTGGCGTTGTGGGTTAATGTTGTTAGGTGCCATCGAGTAGGTACTGACTCATATGCACAATAGAATGAAACACTGCCCGGTCCTGGGCCAACCTCACCACTGTTGCCACGCTTGAGTCCATCGATGCTGCCACTTGGCTAATCCATCTCGTTGGGAGTCTTCCTCTTTTTGTCTGACCCTCCACCTTACCAAACTTGATATCCTTCTCCAGCGACTGGTCCCTCCTGACATTATGTCCGAAGTATGAGAGACGAAGTTTGGACATCTTAGCCTCCAAAGAGCACTCTGGATGCACTTCTTCCAAAACGGATCTATTGGTTCTTTTGGCAGCCCATAGCGCTTGCAATATTCTCCTCCAACACCATAACTCAAAAGCGTCAATTCTTCTACAGTTAATGTGCTGGACTGCAAAGTTGGTCTGAACCTCAAGGTTGGTGGTTCAAGCTCAGTAGGCACTCCTCGAGAACCCTATACAGGGTCAACCAACTCGAAGGCACTTAACAATAAAGGGTTCCGAGGAGCCGCTGGTGAGCTTGAAAGCTGATCTTGCAGTTCAAACGACTTTGGACTTTGCAGTCCTGAGCATTACTGGACATTCATTGAATGTCTGTTAGGAGCCAGGTGGTGCTAGAAACTAAAGGAACATTGGTAAATTGTAAAAGGTCTCAGCTGTCATAGAGCTAAGGGTCTATCTATCTGGGCAAGCAAAGTACAGATAATTTATTCATAGTCGATGAGTTTGGCCAAAAAAATAATTAGGAAGTTTCATTAGCATTATGGTAAGAACAACAACAGAGAGAAGAGGACCCATTTCACAGAGGAGCAAACAGGCAAAGAAGTAGGTTGCAGATTACTGGATATTTATTTAGGTAATATGTATTGTATAAAACATGTTATCTTTTTTTAAAAATTGAATTTATGTCAAATGTTGGGCTTATTCTCATAACTGTATTATATATAATTCTCTAATATTAATAAACCTTTGAGGTTGATTGTTTTAATTCCCAGTTCACACAATATAGAAAACACCCAAATAAATTAGGTAATTTGCCCAAGACCACAAAGTTAAGAAATGCTCTTTATTACTGCAGATCCATTTGAGCTCCTGGTGTGGCACTGTGGGTTAATGTGCTGGACTGCAAATTCACTTTGAACTGCAAGGTCAGCATTTCAAGATCACCAGCTGCTCCTAGGAAACCCTATGCAGGGTTGCTATGGGTCGGAACCGACTCAATGGCACTTAACAACAGCAACAACTTTTGAGCTCCATCCTCCCATTATTATGCAGGCATTCAACAAAGAATTACCATATTTCCATACTCACAATGCTTAAGGTTATATCATAAGGCCTCTTCATGAACAGATAACTGCCTTTCAGGAAAAGGCCTAGGGTATGTCCCTGCAGCTCTTTAAACCTCAAGTTTGTAATTCAAGTTCACCAGGCACTCCCTGAAGACCCTATACAGGGTTCCTATGGCTTGGAACCAACTCGATGGTACTTAACAACAACATCTCAGAACACAAAACTGCTTCCCATGTTGTTAGAGTCATGATATGGTTTGCCCATTGAACTGATCCTATACTGGCATCCTGGTGTGGGGGTGTAGGATAATCACTGGACTGCTAACCACATGATTGGTGGTTTAAACCCACCAGCTGCTCCTTAGGAACCCTTTACAGGGTTGCTATGAATTGAAACTGATTCAGTCGCACTTAACATACAACAACAGGGATTAGGAGATTTGTCATTAACACCTTTGTTAAGTGTCTGTTGTCTGCCAGGCACTGTGTTAGCTGGTTGTTGTTAGGTGCCATTGAGTCCGATCCAACTCATAGTGACCTTATGCACACAGAACAGTCCTGCACCTTGCTTAAAATTGTTGCTAGCTTGAGTTTATTGCTGCTACCATTCTGCCAGCCCATCTCGTTGGGAATCTTCTTCTTTTTTGCTGATCCTCTACTATACCAAGCATGATGTCTTTCTCAGGGGATTGGTCCCTCCTGATAATATGGCCTAAGTATAAGAGATGAAATCTGATCATCTTGGATTCTAAGGAACATTCTGGTTGTACTTCTTCCAACACAGATGTGTATGTTCTTCTGGCAGTGCGTGTTACTTTCAATATTATTCTGCAACGCTATAGTTCAAATGCATCAATTCTATGGTCTTCTTTCTTCATTGTCCAACTTTCACATGCATATAAGACTATTGAAAATACCCTGGCTTGGGTCAGGCATACCTTAGTCCTTAAACTGACTGACTGTTTTACTTTGCTCTTGAATGCTTTAAAGAGGTCTTATGCAGCAAATTTGCCTAATGCAATACATCGTTTGATTTCTTGACTGCTGCTTCCATGAGTGTTGAGAGTGGAGCCAAGCAGGACAACCACTGCAAGACAAATGTAAGTACCTAGATGGACGTTTCTTCAAAGTGTGGGGGAGAAAGGGAAAGGAATGTCCATTCTGTCAGACTGAGTTGGAAAGTTTCCATGAAGACCCAGGGCTTGAGCTGAATAGGGTGAGAAGGGTTATGTTAGAACAAGGACTTTTCAGGCAGTGGGAATGCCCTTTGTAAAGATAAATATGGGAGACATACTGGTTTTGTTAAATGCTCTTGAGTCGGTTTGGAGGATTTTAAATCTTTAAGGGAACAAAAAGCCTCATCTTTCTTCCACAAAATAGCTGGTGGACTCAAACCATGGACCTGTGGTTTGCAGTACAGTGTTTATCATATGGAGCTGCTGCACTCAGGTATTAATTACTAGCTCCTAGAATCTCTCAGACCTAACAAAACATTTGATCTCATATCAATTGTCTTTCATTTACGCTTCATTCACTAAGAACCTAATAAGTAGTAGACATTTGCAACTTAAGTGCTCAGCTACTAACTGAACCCATCCAGCAGCTTTACAGGCGAAAGACCTGACAATCACAGCCCAGAAAATCCTGCCGGAAGTTCTACTCTGTCAGTTGGAGTCACTATGAATCAAAATCAACATGACGGCACCTAACGTAACATTCATCCAAAAAATGTCTCTGTAAGGAAGGTACTGTTAATCTAATTTTACTAATATGGAAATTAAGACTTGCTATTATTAGGTGTTGTCAAGTTGGTTTAGACTCATAGTGACCCTGTGCACAATAGAATGCAACACTGCCTGGTCCTATGCCATCTGGATGTACCTCTTCCAAGACTGATTTGTTGGTTCTTCTGGCAGTCCATGATACTTTCAGTGTTCTAAAAACACCATAATTCAATGCATCGATTCTGCAGTCTTGCTTACTCTTTGTCCAACTTGCCCATGAGTATGAGGTAATTGAAAATGCCATCATTTGTGTTAGGCACACCTTAGTCCTCAAATTGACATCTTTGCTCTTTAACACTTTTAAGAGGTCTTGTGCAGCAGATTTGCCAAATGCAATATGTCATTGGATATCCTGATTGCTGCTTCCATGCATGTTGATGGTTGATCCAAGCAAAATGAAGTCTTTGACAACTTCATTCTTTTCTCCATTTATCATGATGTTATTTAATGGTCCAGTGGTGAGGATTTTTGTTTTCTTTACATTGAGGTAAAATCTATACTTAAAGCAATATGTTCTTTGATCTTCATCAATAAGTATTTCACATTCTCTTCACTTCCAGAAAGCAAGGTTGTGTCATCTGTGCTATTACAACTTGTAAAGTCTTCTTCCAATCCTCTTTCTTCTTCTTATGATCCAGCTTCTCAAGTTATTTGCTCAGCATATGTATTCAGTTGTTATTGTTAAGTGCCATCGAGTCCATTCTGACCCATAGCAACCCTGTATAGGGTTTCCAAGGAGTGGCTGGTGAGCTTGAACCACTGACCTTGTGTTTCAAACCAATTTTGTAAGTATGGTGAAAAGATATAAATCTGACCCACATCTTTCCTTATTTAAAAATCATTCAGTATCACTTTGTTGTTTTCTAACAACTGCCTGTTGATCTATGTACAG